AACCTCACGAGCACTAATACTCTGAGTCGGCCACTCGCGGTCTACAGATTCGTGTTCTTCATAAGCTAAGCCTGACCCGTAGCTTCTAATCCAGCCTGGTCAAACAACAGCGGCGGCGCATCCCTTTCCCGCTATTTTAAAACTGGGTCCGGTCTCTCCCATGCCTTTGATATAACAGAACTTGCGGCGGCTGGCTGTGCCTACAGTCTGACCGCGCGGAGCAATAGCTGGCGTCTGTTACTCACCGCATCGGCCCCCTCCGGGTAACTAGGTGCTCCGCCATTCTGGTGTCCTCCTTCGTCCCGCTGTTGGAGGATGTCCTCCAAGCCTTCTTGGCCTCCGCCGCGCGATTGCTCGCGCTCTGCCATCACTTCGCTGTTACTGGCGACCGATATGCCAGCAACGTCAAATCGCCTTATCTACTTTACTATTGAGCTGGGTCCCGAATACAAAGTAAATCACTATTTAAACAATTCAAAATCCCCAACAGACGACGTTCTGACTTGCGCTTGCTTGCACGGTTGACTGGCGAACTAGCGTTGTCTGGATTCAGCGCTTTGTTCCCAGCTAATCTTTGTAACGCACTACCGTATCAGTCACTGTCCTCTGGCCAATTCCGGTCTGCTCCTCCCGCGCCGCACTTGCCGTACTACACTACAGGACGAGCACTTAATCAACATGCAATGATGATGTGCGCATACTTGTGCATTCAGTTCCATAAGTCCATGGACTCATGGTTGGCCATCGTTTTGCAGCCCCGCTGTTGAATCTATCCACCTTCCGTACCGTATGTCACCATCGAGTCACGGTAGTGCATATTTGTGTGTGTGGTTATCACAGTGGGTTCCAGACTCACGAAGGATAGAGCCACTACATGCACTACACCTGAGACTCTGTCACTAGATGAGGCCTGCGCCCCAAAAGTCCCCGAATAAAGAAACCAAAACAAAGAAGCAAAAACAGGTGATAGCTAATCATCCATCGGCGGGCGCTCCCGTGAACATGACAACTTGTCTGACACAATGCACAAAAAGGAGTGATCGACCAACAGAATCCCATCCTTTCCGTGGACCTCCCAGAACTGGGAAATCCCAAAAGGCGGCCCCAAAAGTCAACAACAACTCGATCAATTCTGTACGACAAGGGCCAGGTAAATAGTGGGGGTCGGTGTTCATGGCTGCAGCTATACATTGCCGACCGTGCTCCATAGCTGACACCGCAGCAAGAGCCACAACATCCCAAACACACTGTTGCACTGTTTGTGGAGCTTAGACAAGCCAAAGTTGTTAACGTGACGCTGTTGACAGAGTGAGTTGCTCCGCTGCCTGTGCCACCGGACAGGCCCAGAAGTGGTGACAGCGAGGGGATACACCTACTGGATAACCTCCAGAACCTCACACTGCTGGCCGCGACATCCTGAGATGGGAACTTTCTAACATTGGCGCCCCATCAACCGTGAGACGCCACCAAACCTCGTTTTGTTCATTTTCCCATCGCATGTGAGACCGTAAACGATGTATAAAGTAGGAATAGCCTCAACCAGTACCTCAGAAGAGCCCGTCGCCTGTTATACCATGACATCCGATAAGTACCGATCGGCAGATGCAGATACCGTTATAAGCCCAGGACACTACAATTATCCTCCCTCTAAACAGTAGAGGGCGTCCTCAAGCTTAGCCTATCTCAGGGTCCCTCTGTGATGTCAGCATCCACAGGATAACCAGCGACAGTACATCGCCTTTTTAGTAAACAGGATATGGGCTACTCGACGAGCCACAGAAAGTGGGCGAAGTCGCATATCAGCCGCTATTTGAACGGATAAATCTTGAAGTCTAACAGGGGGGCCCCTTCACCCCATCGCCAACCTAACCTCGTCACCAGGGTTTAGGTAGCAGACTCAATGGATGGGACCATACTATGGTAGCTGCTCTGGATTATGCAATAAGAGGCAAGAATAGACTAACTTCCTGTCGCAAGTGTGCTGGGATATCAGCTAAGAGAGCGACAATAGCATTAAATGTGTTCCATATAAAGCCAGCAGCATCCGGGAGTATTGGCCTGCTCCATGCCGTGGATTATTGTACTACCTAAGTGCACGACCTACCTAAGACCGACGATGTATGTGTGTATGTATGACGTTGATTACACTGTGGGCTGGGGGCCCAGGGCCGAAACACAGCGCGGGGGGCGGATGCACACGGCTGGTTAGTCTCGTGCACTCCACCCCCAGGTCAGGCCACATGGGAAACGACGGCCGGCACACATCAGCACTCCCCTCCGGGGGGTGGCGCTCCAGCTAGACGGGTACTATGCCATACTATGGCCGTCTTCTAATGAAAACGGAGTCGCAACCGGGGGACTCTTCCTACGGGCAGAAAGCACCGAATATCTCAGAAAGCTCACAACTAGGATCTGGGCGACCAGGAACCCGACAAGTCATCCCGGGCTGGGGAGGTCACCAAGCTCCAAAAACCTAAAACAAAAAGAGCGCGAAGAGTTCACACCACGAGGCGCCAAACAGCCTCCTGGGTCTACTACCCACCCCCGCCTTTCCCTGCCTGGGCAAGTCCAGCTGGGGAGATAGCACCAGGGGGGATAACGCCACACAAGCACACGCCCTTCCACAGCACTGGGTCCAACTCGAAAAGCACTCGAACGGGAAAACCCTGCAGCGATGCTGGGCGATCAAGCCTCCGAAAACCACAGGGGGGGGGTAGCCAGCTCGGCACCCCCCTTACTGCTCTACCAAGACGGCTGGTTCCCAAGACTCTATTTCACCTATACTTCACAACACACAAAGCCCGGCCTCGTACCCCGACGGGCCTAGTCCTGCACCACACGCGCACCTCCGAGTACGGCCCCTTCTGGGTGCCCACCTCCTGCTCATCCGCGCCCTCTCTATGGCCACCTGATTCCTCTTACCACTCCTCAACCCTACATCCTCTTGGTGCTCTCTCTGCCTCTTCCCCTCCCCGCCCGGGCTCTCCCCACCCTTCCCCCAGCCTCCCCAGTCCTCTCGGCCCCTCGGCCTGTCTCCCCACTCCGCCGGCGCGGCGCCCCCAGACACACAAACCCTCGCTCACCAATCCTCCCCTTGTGACACCCCTCCAACCCCCATCCCTGCTCCCTCACCCCTCGCTACCTTCCCCTTCAACCTCCCCCTCGACACACCCACACCTCAGCCGCCCTCCTAGCCTCTACACCCTATCCCCTTTACCCCCTAGACTCCAGCTCCCGCCGCGTCCGCTTGACCCTTAGGTCGTGATGTCCACCGCCTCCGTGCAGCACAGTGCTCCCCCGATGATTGACAGGATCAGGTGGTGGGGTTCCACTCCATCCCAGCCCCGCCTTTGGACGTTGAGCGCGGCGAAAGAGCGCAAGCGCGCCCAGAAGTCCACTACTGCCCGAGCACGCGCCAGGGGGTTTGCTGCTGCAGCTGTTGCTGTTGCCGTCCCTGGTCCCAAGTTGCGCCCCTGCGTTTGATCCACGAGTAACGGGACTTGCAGTGACAGCCCCTTGTACGGTCTCGCTCCGTTGGCCAGGTGGAAGAAGTCAGTTCTCGACTGCTGTTGGGGCCCTTGCGCCTGGATCTGTTGCGCTTGCTCTGGCTGGTCTGTCGCGGGGAGTAACATAGCAAAGGCGTAACCCGGGATGCTCAGATTGGCCTTGCATCGTTACTTTGCCCCCCGCTTAGCAATGGACGTCCTCGGCCATTATTACGAGCATTGGAGCCATCCCACCTCACGCATTGTGCGCTGGTTTATCCATTACACCCCAATTCTACTTAGTGGTAGTAGCCAGAATTGAACCGCCGATCCGAAGTTAACAACGGTGTTCACGCGACCCCGTCTCGATACCATTGTAACTCAGAAAAGGCGTAACCAGGGATGCTCAGATTGGCCTTGCGTCGTTGTACGGGGTTAACCGCCCTTTCCAGTCGCCTTCCGGCTGCTCATAGACAGCACCTGCCTACCTCCATAGCAGACAGGGCTACCAGGGCGATCACATCCCAGGGGTCCTGTTCGCAGCCTGTCGGGGCTTGGACCAACCGCAGCTGCTTCCAGGTGATGCCGCCTGTCGCGGCCTCCTGGGAGGGCTGTAGGTGTCGGTCAATTTGCTCCCGGACAGCTTGTGCGACAGGGCACTCCCAGAAGTGGTGCATGCATTGGGAGCATTGCTGGTTGCTGGCATTGCCGAACCTTCCACACCCACATCGCTCGGGTACCATGCGGGTTAGGTATCTGTTGCCGGGCAGGGGGGTGCCATCCACAGCAAGCCGCCACAGCGTTTCTTTGTTCTCCCACCGCACCCCCGACCACAAGCGGGCTTGCGTCGCCCTGAAGCGGCTTGTTTCCGCTGAGGAGGAAGGTGCCGTTTCCTGCGGGTCCAACGCTTCTTGCACAAATGCTGCCATCAAGCGTCCCCGTTTCTCCTCCGTGGCCCCGCATTGCAGCTGTGTCACTAGGCGGACCGTCAGGCGGTGAGTGAGACGGTTGTTGTGCCGCCCGGTATCTGCCATCCGACCCGCTTTAGGATCATAGCCATCGCCTGAGTGCTATTGGGGGTGCTTGGAGCCGTCATGTCCCCCGCCGTTGGCATCTCTGGCTGCTGCTGTTGGGGTTGCTGCTCATGCGGCTGCGTCTGTAGCTGTGGCTGCGGCTGTTGCTGCTGTTGCAGCTGCGGCTGCAGCTGATGCTGTGTCTGTAGCTGTGGTTGTGTTTGCAGCTGTTGTGGCTGTACCTGCGGCTGTGGCTGCGGCTGTGGCTGCGGCTGTGGCTGCGGCTGTGGCTGTGACTGCGGCTGTGGCTGTGGCTGCGGCTGTGGCTGCGGCTGTGGCTGCAGCTGTGCCTGCGGCTGGGGTTGCTGTTGCTGTTGGGTTTCCACTGCTCTTGCAGCT